CTAAGGTTTTTCCCAATCCTCTCAGACCTTCATTTTACTTTAACAGTTACAAACTTGAAAACAACGCTAAGGTTTTTCTCAATTCTCTCAGACCTTCATTTTACTTTAACAGTTACAAACTTGAAAACAACGCTAAGGTTTTTCTCAATTCTCTCAGACCTTCATTTTACTTTAACAGTTACAAACTTGAAAACAACGCTAAGGTTTTTCTCAGTCCTCTCGGAATCTATTCTTTATACCTACCTTTTCCACCTACACCAGATTCTCGCTTAAGCGTTGCGGAGGAACAAATTTGAATTGAAAGGGGTGAGGCACCGACGACTGGGGCAACTTATTTACTATTTTCAAACAGCGACATTCCCTGATAATTATACACAAATCGCTATTTCCCCATTCAAAAGGGCATTTCACCAATGGCTCAAATGTTGGGGGGCATATGTCCCCCTTTGTTTCCACTGCAGGATCCAACTAAGCCTGATTCCAATTCACGTCTCAGATTTTGTATAACTGTTTGTTTGTTTTAGAGCAAAACCACATTGGGCTATCTGCCGTGTCCACCGCGGGGAATCGACCCCCCCCCCGTACTTGAACGTTGTAAGTCCGTAGACTTACCGATGTCCCACTGGGGGACATTGAATAACAGTTGTCGCTACTTATTACCTCGAACACCAAATATCATCTCATTGGTTTTTAAAGATGAGCATGTCAATGTAAAATAGGAAGAATAATCTTAGATCGAGGTGTATATCACAGAAACAAAGACAGTAAAATATTTAAGTGAGACTCCTGCATACCTTTCTTTATACGTTAGCATTTTTTTTACAAATGTAAACACTCACTGAATCAATCAGCTTGTTAAAGAATCCAATACTAATATAACACTATTATTTTTACCTTCTTCTGCTGGTGGACTTGTGCTGTTTGTAGAGTGCCAAGCTTCAACAATCAATAAAAACTGGCCCTGAAATATAGAAAATTTACTTGGTTGTAATAATGAGAACTGGCCCTGAAATATAGAAAATTTACTTGGTTGTAATAATGAGAACTGACCCTGTAATATAGAAAATTTACTTGGTTGTAATAATACAAACTCGCCCTGAAATATAGAAAAGTTACTTGGTTGTAATAATGAGAACTGGCCCTGAAATATAGAAAAGTTACTTGGTTGTAATAATGAGAACTGGCCCTGAAATATAGAAAAGTTACTTGGTTGTAATAATGAGAACTGGCCCTGAAATATAGAAAAGTTACTTGGTTGTAATAATGAGAACTGACCCTGTAATATAAAAAGTTACTTGGTTGTTTCAATGAAAACTGGCCCTGAAATATACAAGAGTTCCTTTATTGTTTCAATGGAAATATTACCATAGCTACACAAAACTTAAACAGAACATGGAAATATTACCATAACTGCACCGAACTTGAATAGTTCACAGAAATATTACCAAAGTTACATCAAACTTAAATATGACATGGAAATATTACCATAACTACACCAAACTTAAACAGAACATGGAAATATTACCATAGCTGCACCGAACTTGAATAAGTCATGGAAACATTACCATAGCTACCTCAACAGAAAATACAAATATTGACATAGTCATACCAAAGTTGAACAAGTCATGGCAACGTTACCATAATTACGTCAAAGGTTTTTTTTCCCTATCGGATTAAAGATGCTTGTATAAACATTCACCTGTTAACACATATGATTGGTTCTTTGCTAGCTACATTATGTTATGTAAACCAATAAGCAAATCTCTTAGAAAACAATAAAAAAAATTAAACATTTGCGTCGCTGATGCACGCTAATGTGTTTAAAATCTATCAACAAATGTTTAAACAGATAATTAGAACATCTAACATCTAAAAGAGACACGAACTTCTAACCCGTAATGTCGAAGATGGTCCAGTAACAACGAAAAAATTTACATTTCTCAAGTTTGAAAATGTAGTTATTTAATTGTATCTTTCTCTTCTTGATCCCCCCCCTCCCTTCTCTCTCTCTCTCTTTTTCAGAAAATAAAATTTACTTACCGGCCATGAAAAATCAAAATTAAAGTCTAACTCGGGAAGATTGTTTTCGAGGCCACTTCTGTCTACAATATCACTAACAGACATACCAAAAGTGCACGGCGTGTTGAAATCAAGTCGGCGTTTAGATTCGTAACTGGAAATTTTTCTTGACACGTGTGTCAGACAGACCCGAAAAAAGGTACTGCAGTCAGCTTCACACTCGTTTCCCAGACGATCTCCACAACATTCACCATCAGCAGTTGTGTGGTTAGGATTAGAATAGCTGGTAAGTCTTAAATCAAACACTCCCGAAGTTTCAACCTGTATTCCGAATGAAATGAATTCACAAACATTCAAAGTCAGTTGTGGAACATTCAAGTAATGAATTTATAACAGCCATTCAATATAAAGTCTAATGTATTCGTATTGTATAGTGTGACTGTTGTAGAAGTCAGATCAATGTTCTATCGAAACATGTAGTATGTTCCACCATAAATAAATGTTTTCATTATGCATATAAATCATTGTTTGTCTACTTATTATTATATGAAACCTAATGTATTTAATTGTACAGTCTGACTGTTGAAGTAATCTTTGCGTATAGAACCTAATGTATTTAATTGTACAGTCTGACTAATGTAGTAATCTTTGCGTATAGAACCTAATGTATTTGATTGTACAGTCTGACTGCTGAAGTAATCTTTGCGTATAGAACCTAATGTATTTAATTGTACAGTCTGACTAATGTAGTAATCTTTGCGTATAGAACCTAATGTATTTGATTGTACAGTCTGACAGCTGAAGTAATCTTTGTGTATTTCATTGTGATTATTAATACATTCTGACAAAGTTCAAACTAAAACGTTCTATACGAAAAAACTCGCAATAAGTAGATATCATAATATTAAAAATGAAGACACTTTAACACAAAAATCTAAAACAGATATTCAAATTGTTATTTCTATTTTAATATTGAATTATTATTACTGATTTGATCTGTGATCGTCGGTTCGCCCTTAAACAAAGGAATTGGTTTTGATATGTATATAAAACTCTACTTTAATGCACCGTACCGTATTTAATGCACCGTACCGTATATTGAATTATTATTACTGATTTGATCTGTGATCGGTTCTTCCTTAAACAAAGGAATTGGTTTTGATATGTATATAAAACTCTACTTTAATGCACCGTACCGTATATTTGTTATTATTACTGATTTGATCTGTGATCGGTTCTTCCCTTAAACAAAGGAATTGGTTTTGTTATGTATATAAAACTCTACTTTAATGCACCGTACCGTATATTTGTTATTATTTCTGATGGATGACCAACCATTCCTTCAACGTCACAAGAACTGTTCATATCAGTTAAACACCATCCTATACGTAGTCCGATTGATTGTTTTGGATATTCGCGCAAGGGCTATCTGCACTAGCCGTTCCTAAATTTGACCCGATAAGCTAGAGGAAAAGTAGTTTATCAGTATGTTTATTGTTTATTTGTAATTAAACACAAAGCTACACAAT